ATAATATATCAAAATGAAGCTCTAAGTGAGCTCTGTCTTTTTGTTTAAGGTAGCAACTAAGGTTAGCTTAGTAAATTATTAAAAAATTTTAGAAAAAGTATTTTGAAGTTTAATAAATATATCTTACTGTACAAAGGTCTGAGAAATATAAAACTAGGCCGCTTATATGTAAAATATAGTTGTGAACAATTTTACTTAGGAGGCCAAAGAAGGTTTACTTAATAAATTATTTAGTTATGCCAGTTTATTATCAGAGAATTTTGGTACAAGTGATCATCGGAAAGAGTTAATGATTTGCCTTTCTACTTAAAAGTTTTTGCTTGTTTGGTTTCTTTATATTAATATCTGTTTTCTTAGTTTAGTTTTTATAATAGTATGATTATTTTTTTATTCAGGTTTTTTTAATTAGACTTTAGTTTTTTTCAGTTCTATAGATTTATATAGATATAAGAACTTATTTTAAGTTTGCATTATTTGGTACTGATTTGCATTTTTTTGTATAACTAAGGTTATACAGATGCTTTATAATTTGTTAGTCATGTTAGTGCAATTATATTACAAATATCTTATCTTAACTAATTAACAAAATGCCATTACTGTAATATTGTTTATATATTATATAAGTAATTATCTAAATTTTTACTATTAGTAAATTTTGAACTCACAATTTACTACTTGAAAGATTAATAACTTATCTATTTTACTAAGTCATTATATATCTTATAAACAATTTATAATTTTTATTTTTTAATTAAATATATAATAAAATTTTAATAGAACTTAAAGTTCAGATTAAAAAAAAAAATTATTAATTAATTTTTAATTAATAAAAATAATAGATAAATTTAATTTAAAATTTAAATAATAGATCTGTAAATTGATAATACAGTAGTTAGTGCTTTTAAGTCTTAATTGTAAGGTTATAAGTTCAAGTTTAAAAGATGACAACAACTCTGTTAGTACTATAATTAAAAAAAGATTTGCAAAAAACTTCTATTTAAAAGCAAAAACAAGATTTATATAAAAAAATACAATTACTAACATAACTACAAAGTCAAAAACAACCAAATAAGGTATAATCTGTTAACAAATAATGTTAATATTAAGAGAATCTAATTTAAGAATATGTAATAATAGAATTAAAGACTTTGAAATATACAAATAATTTGGTTAGTAAGTAAGTTATATGAAGTTAGAGAACTGCAAACTAAAAAGGATAGTAGATCTTATATTATAGTGTCAAAGTCCCAGAATATCATATAACAAACTTGATGAAGCATAAGTTATCTTACAAGTTTAATAATATATAAGACCTACATACTATTTGGTAATCTTTACAAAATGATAACTTTGGCCTTTAAGAAATATAATAGATCCTAAAGGTGTCTAAAGACCTTTAAATAACAAAAAATAATAAAAAAATTTTTTAACCTATAATTAAACATAAGTTTTCTAACTATATAAATTTAATTATATATAATAAAACTTATTATTTCTTAAATTAAATTTAAAAATAATTATATTTTCAATAACTATATATTTAAATAACAATAGTAATATAGACTAGTAACAGTTATTTTTATTATTATTATTTTAATATTAATAGTAAGACTATAACTCTATCTTTATTAAATATTTAATTAAGATTTTATATAAAATATAGTTGTAATTTTAAAATATTATAAAAATAATAAAAACAGACTAATTTATTTGTAATTTAAATCTATATAAATAACTAAGACTTATTTAAATTCAAATATTAGTAATTATATATATATAGAATTAGTTTAATATTTAATTTATTAAATATATTAGAAGTTAATTTTTAAATTAATAGAATTAAAAGAAAAAAACATAATGAAAATAAAACAAAATTTAATGATAAATTATAGTTAAAAAATTAAATTGTAGATCTTTCATCTTTTTTTGTTTTAAATATCTATTATAGTTTACTTAGTAAATTTTAAGTTTTTAATAAAAAAGAAAACCTATTTAATTTGGTTATATTACTATAAAAAAAGGTCTTTAGAAATATAAAAATAAGTCATTTATTTGAAATATAATAAAAAATCTAGATTTTGTAACAAATTTGTTAATTAAAATAAAATAAAAAATCAATTATATTACTATTATATTGATGCACTTGTGTCAATTTCTTTTTGTTTGATAGCATCATTCTTAATGCAATAACTCACTGTATAAACTTAGCTAATTTAGACTTCTCTAACAATAAAACTAAAAAACTTATTTAAAAAATTAAAGACTATTCAGCTTTCAAAGAAATATTTCTTCACTTATCTTTATATTATCTAAAAATTACTCTTAAAGGTCTTATTCTTTTATCTTTAATTAAAACTATTTAGAACCTAAAAGTTCTATACAAACTAGCATCAACAATCATGATTAATATTTTGCTTAAAATTAACAAATAAATTTATGAACAATTATGGAAACCCTACTGTATTAATTTTTTAAATTAGAAAAAACAATAGCAAATAATATATATATATACTATGCAACAAACTTCATCTTCTTATAGTAAAAATAATATATATACTTATTATAATTTTACATATTTTTATTTTTGTGGTTAACTTGACTAACTTCATTTATATACTAGAACCTGTTCACTTGTTAGACAGACCTTTAAAAAAATTAGTACTTGGGCTACTCTGTATATCAAGTATCACACAACTTCTAACTTTATTTTAATTATAAATAATATTATCTAAGTGAGTTTTTGATCACTTTAGTAGATTTAGATTGTAGATAAATTAAATTTATTTAATTGTCTGAGTTTTTATTTTTATATATAATTTTTTTTTTATTTGTACTAGTTAAATAGTAAAAATGTATATATTATACATATGTTATTATTTTATAAATTACTTAATAAAGATACAAACAAGACTTTACCTTAAAAATAAAAAAAAATAAAATAAAATAAAACATTTATAACAAATGTTGTTATTATTTTTTAAATAATAAATTTATAATAATATTGATAAATTTATTTAGTATTAAGTTTGTTAAAATTAAAAAAACTGAGAATATATCTAATATACTATAAATTAACATGTTATTTAGTAGTTTAATTTGATGATGTAAATTAATTATAATATTTGATATAATATTAAGTATAGTTATATTAAGAATATATTTTATAAAATATTTATGAAACTATATAATAGTAGGTTAGATAAATAAATATTCAATAAAAATTAGAGTTAATTTGATAATATTGGTAATAATAGGTAAATATAAATAATATTATTTATATTAAATATATAAACTAAAAAGATCATTTAGTAAAATTTTAATTTTAAAAAATTTAAGAGTAGAAGACTAAGAACAATATAAAAAATTTAAAAAATTTTAATTCTTATTAATATAAAGTCAAATAATTTATTAGTTAATTTAATTAAGAATTTTATACTATTTTTGAAATTAATTTTGTGTAATTTATAATATATAGATATATACATAATATATTATATAAATACTATAATATATAGGTAAATTTAAAAAAATTTAAAAAATTAAAATATAAGCAAAATTATACATATTACATAATATAAAAATAAAAATATAACAAATTATAATAATTATATACAAGTTAATCTGTAAATTTCTTATATTAATCATTTTGATAAGGAATGATTTTAAGAAAGATAATATGAATATTAGATGATTTGATAAAGTTAATAAGTATATTCTATAATAAAAAATATAATATATGTACATATAATAAAATACTAATTGTATTTAAAATACTATAATATTTAGAAATTATAGATTGTGAGTTTATATATTTATATATAATATAATTTTTAAGAACAGTAATAAGGATTGATATAATAACAATAAGTTTAAACTTAAATAAGCAAAATCAATATCTTGTTTGGATTTGAAATATGTATAATATAAAATTATATAAGATTTGAATTTATCTAATAGTTATGAAACATTGTGAAATCTTCAGGTTGACAACTAAACCATTTGTATAGAAGTGAAGTTCTAATAATTGTATATTATTACATATTAGTAATTTGTTAAAGATTCTGTTAATATACTAGATTTAAAGATGGTTAGGATTGAGTGTATTGTAATGCTGATATTAGAAGGATTAGGGATTTGAATAGGATGTCGAATTGTGACAGAGTAGTTTGAATTTTAAAAATCACACTGCACAGTCTTTCAAAAATTCTGCGCAGTGGCCCATTCCTAATCCTACCTGCATTATAATAAACACTTCATTAAATATTCCATAACAAACACCTCATTAAATATTTCATAACAACACCTTATAAAATATTCCATAACAAACAATTGAAAAGATTATAGAATAAATATTGTTCTCTTTTTTAAACACTTCGCCGCAAAAAGTAAACCTAAAAAAGGTTATATCTTGCTAAAAGTGTTAGTGTTTATATACGTACAAACATGCTCCTGCGTTTCGATGCTTTAAAGGTTATTTAAAAAGATTGATATTTAAGGAAAATAAATCAGATTACCTCATCTCTTTATTTCTATTTTCGGCAATTCAAATGAACAAACGTTAAAAATTCATGTACCTGTTTCATTTTTTTAAAAGATTGTCTGTTAAGATTCTTAGAGATTTTTAGTGTTATTATTTAAAGATTTTGAATGTACCTCCACTCTAAGTTGGTGATTACTAATTCTCCTCACATATAGAAAATCCTAGAATTGTCAAAATGTTTTTCCTCGACATTCTAAAGAAAGATTCACCATTATCGTTAAGATGGTGTCGAGTTTTAACAATAATTATTTTTTCATGTGTATTATGTACCTTTTTTATGATATTGATTATGAGGTTGGTTGATGAAGTACCTGCTATTAAAGTAACTTATGAAAACCAGGAGTCTATCCCTGCACCAAGTATGATTAACTTTGTTATCAAAATTTATATCGATATATATTTTCTCAAATTAACACTAAAAGACGTTATTTAGATATTTTTTATCGAGGTATAATTAATGGTTGTGAAGTATTTCGAGATAATCTTAATTATGATAGGGAAGGAATTTGTTCGAAATATTTAATATCTAATTTATCACTTACCGAAAAAGTTCGTAAAAATGTTGAAAGAATTGCTCAAGATGATTTAAGTAATTATACAGGATTGATACATAATGGAGATATATCTCTTAAAGAAGGCGATGTGATTCGTCTTTACCTTACTATTGATAGCACGATACTTAATAGCATAATACTATTTGATCCTGAATACTTAAAATACTCTGATCAACCTCTTTATATTGATTCACTTAGTCTCGAAAATATATATTTCATGAGTCATAACATCAATGTATATAATGGTTATTTTTATTGATATATTATTATTTCTGAAAAATATTTAATAACATTTTATTCTTTTAAAACGTTAGTCTAGCCTTTATAATTTTAATAGATTCAAAAGACAATTGATGGATAAGACATTGTTCACGCAACTTGGATTCTCACCAAGTTATCAAACATATCATTATATTACTACGGCACCAGGTAAAAGAAAAAGAAAAACGATCACAATAAATAATGTTATGAAAAAAAAAATAATGTATATACGTATTTACAGTATTTGTAGGATTTTCTCAAGGTGCTTCTATTAATGCTGTTACTAATATGTTGGTGATTATTAAACCAAAAACGACGACTTTACAAGTAGAAAAGGAACAAAAGTAAATTTTTATTTAAGTTTATTCGTTTTTTATTTTATTCTTTTATTCACTCGTTTTTATTAATTTTCTAGAAGTCGTACTGTAAATGTTATGGTTATTTTGAATATTATTTGAAATTTATTCGTTTATTTTTAAATAATATTAACTATATATACGTATCATTTAAATAGATATTAGATATTTTAGGAACTATCACTGCTCTTTATGGTTTGATGCTGAGTTTTTACGTTTTCCTATTTCGTAAGTAATTTATAAAATTGATTTATTATTTTATTATATGTATTTTTAGTATTTTTTTTTTTATTTTAGAAAAGGAATTAAACTCTCAACCCTATGGCCTCGTTAAGAGATTCGTAGTTTTTGGTGGCCCTCCTGAAAGGTCTTTAATTGAGAGGTTCAAAGACCCCTTAGAAAAATCTCTGATCGAAAGGATTGAATTTTTAGAATCCAAAAACGGAATTAAATATAAAAATTATAACCAATATTATTATTTTTAATATTAATAAAAATTATACGTATCTAGTCCAATTGTAATATTGTAAATTATAAAAAGTTATGTAATATTGTAAATTATAAAAAGTTATTTCATTAACATAATAGTATTAGGATACTACGTATCAAATGTTTCATAATAATAAATTCAAATTTTATCACAATACAAGACTTATTTGTGAAACGAGGAACAATGCCTACCAAATAATTGATTGTGGTGCAATTATTTGAATCTAATTAATTGACGTCAAAATTTGTGGTTTAAAAAAAAAATAAAAAAAAAATAAATAAATACAATCAAATAATCACTTTTTTGAATTAACTTTAAATTTACAAATTGTACAAACTGCAAGAATATTCTTCAATCGGTTTCAAATTCCGAACAAATGCACATAATTGCCTTTTTTAGACCTGCAAGCATCAACGTAATTTATACGTACGTATTCAACAAGAACCGGATTATACGTACAAATTTAATGAATCGTCTACGTAGATACGTTATACGTACGTAGTTAATAGCAATGTATTTCCATATTTGGATATTATTAGCTTTTTTAAAATTTTACATTATCTTGAAAGTTACAGTAAAGTAAAATTGGATTACAATAGTTTTTACAACAATTGCATAAAAATCGAGTTGCAATTAATTTCCTGACTCAACTAGTTTCAGGAACGACATCTACATAATAAAATATAGCTAACACATTAGAATTTGATTATTGGTTATAATTTTTTATATGAAATCTTAACGTTAATGCACATGCATGAAGTCACACTGACCCATTCTCTAGATATTACTTTACAATATCGAAATTACTTCTTTCACGCACTAACAAAAAAAAGACTTCCTTCTAAATTTTACCCACTAAACTTGTTGCTAGCCTCACCCGAGATGTTATTTCAAAAAGGGTGGTGACTAGGGTGTCTGATCTGACACGCCAAAAAAAAAAATTGCTAAAATTTGTGGCATGGCATGCCAAAAGTCATGCCATAAAATGTTACATATATTATTTATAATACTGTATATATGACATTGTAAATATATTTTTTTTTATACTGTAAAGTGGCATATCAAGTTTGTTATTGGTAGGCCTTTGCTACTATGCCAGAGACACATGTAAATATCACAAATAATTCAAACCAATAGGAATTAGTAAGTGCATTGTAATTAAATGCATTTTAATTAAATGAAATAATATTATTATTAATAACGCGTATTTGTTCATGTTTAGCTTCTCTTTTTTCTTTTTTAGGTGATGCAAGGATTCTAAAAATCCACAAACATTCAATATCAACCAACTATTGAAAATTGAACAGATCAATTTCAAATTTGTGACACTACTGTTCCTTTTTTAAACTCTTTCTAAAAAATAAACTTAAAACGCTAAAAAAATATTGAACCTTGTTAAAAGCGTTTATATACATATATCTTTTTGTCTGTTAAAACGCATGCATCCATGTTTCGATACCAATACCTTAGAGATTATTTTGAAAATTGATATTTAATGAAAGCAAAAATCATCTAAGAGTTTTGATTCCTATTTTTGGTAGCCGAAAATGGTCAGCCGTTAGCATTAAAAAAACACATGCACCCGTGTTTCATTGTTTAAAGATTGTCAATGATAATATTGTTACTGTTAAATATTTAAAAGAATATTTAAGAAAATAAACCAAATCATGAATTGCCAAAATGTTTTTTCTCGATATTTTAAAAAAAGAATTACCGTTACCGTTAAGATGGTGTCGAGCTTTAACAATACTTATTTTTTCATGTGTATTATGGATCTTCTTCATGATACTAATTACAAAGTTAATTGATGAAGTGCCTACTATTAAAGTATCTTATGAAATCAATGAGTTTATCGTTGCACCAAGTATGACCAATTTTTTTATTAAAATTCGTATATATTTCTCAAACTAACAAAAGATATTAGATTTTATTTATATAGGTGAAGCTAGCTTCTGTGAAATAGTTAGGTTTGATGATGTCGACGGTGGTTATGATAGTAATAAAAATAGTTCTGAAGATTGTGGAAAATATTTAGCATATAATTTATTACTTGCCGATAATGCTCGTAAACACTTTGAACGAATTGTTCAAACCGAACTAACTGATTATACGACGTTTATACATAATGGGAACATAACTCTCAAAGAAGGAGACTATATTCATGTTAACTTTACTATGAGTCCAACGAAGATCAACATTTTAACACTATTTGATACCGAATACTTAACATACTCCGATGAACCTCTGTATATTGATTCACTCAACTTGGAAAATACGTATCACATAAGTCATAGCACAAATGTAATAGTTTATATATATGTTTATTTATTATTAGGCCATGCTTTCTGGAACACCTGCTCCTTACTCGAAATCTTTTTGGTCATTCGGTAAATCACCTAACTCTCCGGAAATACATAACTGCCTCTGGACTGAAGGTCCGAAGACAGCGATATAGTTTCCGAAGAGTTAGGAACAATCAAAAAGATTTCGGGTAATGAGCAGGCGTTCCAGAAATTATGATAATAGCTATAATTAATTGAATTTCATAACCCGGCCGGGAAAACTTGTAAAAAAATTTTTTTTATGTTTTCAGCTATTATCATAATTTCTGAAACACCTCCTGGCCGTTTGTAAATTACCTAGCTTTCCATAACTGCCTCCGGACTGAAGGTCCGAAAACAGCGATGTAGTTTCTGGTAATTTACCGAACGACCAAAAAGATTTTGGTTAATGAGCAAGTGTTTCATAAATTATGTAATAACCAGGTGGGTTTTTAAAAAATTTTATGAAAGTTTTATAAAGTTTTATATATGAAATTTTTTAAAAAAAGCCTGCCGGCCGGGTCTGTTTAAAAGTTTTATGTTTATGAAAGTCAATATATTAAATTTATGTGGCCTTATTATTATTATTTTAAAAACATTTAATAACATTTTATTTTTAAAATATTAGTATAGTGTTTATTATTTCAACAGATTTAAAAGACAATTAATGGATACAACATTGTTAACACAAATTGGGTTCGCGCCAAATTACAGAACATATAATTATATTACTACAAATCAAAGTAAGTCAAATGAATTAGCACAAATAATGCTATGGCAAAATCTAATATATTTATTTATACAGTATTACCCGCTCCAGGTCCTCCTAATACTACTACAATGGTAACGACTATTAGACCAAAATCGGCGGTTACACAAGTAGAAAAGGAACAAAAGTAAATTTTTATTTAAGTTTATTCGTTTTTTATCTTATTCTTTTATTCATTCACTTTATTAATTTTCTAGAAGTCGTACTGTAAATGTTATGGTTATTTTGGATATTATTCGAAATTTATTCTTGTTTTTTTCAAATAATATTAACTACATATACCATTTAAATAGATATTAGATATTTTAGGAACTATCACTGCTCTTTATAGTTTGATGCTAAGTATTTACGTTTTCCTATTTCGTAAGTAATTTATAGGTTAAATTGGTTTATTATGTGATTTTATTATATGTATGAATACCATTTTTTTTTTATTTAGAAAGGGAATTAAGCTCTCAACCTTATGGTCTCATTAGGAGATTCGTGGTTTTTGGTGGTCCTCCCGAAAAGCCTTTAATCGAAAGGCTCAAAAATCCCTTAGAGAAATCTCTGATCGAAAGGATCGAATATTTAGAATCCCAAATCGGAACTAAATATGAAAATTATAAACAATATTATCATTATGTTTAATATTAATAAAAATTATATATAGTCCAATCGTAATATTGTAACATAAAAGTTATTCCACTGTTATGCCCGGACTACCTCTTATAAGTCCGGCATAACCAATTTACTTTAGCGACGAATATACTAGACGACTTGATAACACTGCCATAAGTAGGATTTCGGACTTGCAGTTTCGTCAAAACCGTTAAAAGTTTCGGTCATATGTGAATTAATCGTTGGTAAAATAAGATTGTCTGTGAATTAATTGTCAATAATACGAATCCATTATAATTGTTCAATAAAATTTTATTATGTCCAATTAAATTCTTTGGAAATTGTCCAATAATATTATGTGAGACATTATATAACTAACAATCCTAATGTTCTTAAAGGCCCCGCTACCTCCTTTGCAAGAAAAAACAATTCGACAAATTCAACAACTCAACAAATAAATAAAGAGTAATTGTGTGCCCATACACGAATAACTCGAATAAAATCATTCATGCCAAATCCGAAACCTTTTGCCGAAACCCAAAATTTAGCCGAAATTTATTTTTATAAATTGAGTGAATATTTTTTAAGTTGTTAGTGTGTTAAATTTATTCCTGAAAAAAAAGTGTATGCTTAACCACACATACAGTACAATAAGTGTTCCGCTCCGAGAACTTACAGGTTACTTAGGGGTTCCTGCTGCATGGCTGTCTTTAGTTCGTGTTGTGAAATATGAGGTTTAGTTAGCTAACGAACGAAACCCCAATTTTTGAAAAATACACGCAGTGTAGCGAATCCAAAATTTATTTGCTATTTCTTTAACTCCTATTGTATCTGCTGATAAAATAATCAAGAAAAACTATATATATATCACATAACATTAAGTTTTTATTAAGTTTTCTTGGTGCATTATCTTGCACCATTGATAAAGTGATTGTATACAAGCATGTTTTTGTTTAGTATCCAATTACATTATATATTCTGGTTCACCATAATACTACTTAAAAATATGTAAAATTAAATTATTACATTAGAAAAAAATTTATTAAAAAAAAAGACTAATCATATACATGTGGTTTGTGGTTTTAACAAAAACTTAAATATCTATTTACTGATTTTAACTTGAAAGCAAATTTAAGAATTTTTAATTTTTATTAACATAATTTTAGTTAATGTTTCAATATTAAAATTATTGTATTACAAATCCAATATGATGGTTTGTCTTCTTGAACTGACTATTATTTTATTATTTGTTTTTCAGTTTACATAAAATATTTGCAACTTAATATTTTTTTAATGTTAAGGTAAGGTTATGCCTCAAGTCTGTTTATTTGTACATATTGCTATAGTTAGTACAATTTTTATATTATACATTGTCTATCACTTTATATTTATTAGAAAATAACATTCAGACTAGTTTATCTGTAATCTAAACCTATCAGAATTTTTGTATTGTATCTTATTTACATTTAACTTAAATTTTGCTTTACATTCATCTATATTAAATAATTTACATATTTCTTTTATATTTTTATAACCTATTTAAATAATTTTTAAATTGGTTTATTAGATTATTTGTTTCTTATAAGTTATTATTTTTGGTCTGTTAAAACAATACTTTAAAGTATATATGTATCTTAAATTAAGATTTTGTTGCTACTGTTAACTTTTTAATTTAGATACTAGTAGTATGTATCTCAAGTTAAATTCTTGTTGCTGTTATTAGTTTGTGTCTTTCTGATCTTAATATTATTGTTAATAGATTGTGTATTTAATTTATCTTTTAAATATTCTTTTTTATAATTTGACAGAATTATATTTTGAATTACTTCTTCTGCTTATTAATTATTATAGTATTATTACTACTTTTAATTAGAATATCTTAACTTTGATTAGTATAGTTTTTATATTAGTTTATTTCTTTTGTATTACTTTTTTATAAACTTTTATATAGATATAATTAAAGTTCTAACTTAATATTTTTAAATATATAAAACTGGTTACATTTTTTATATATATGATTATCTTCTATATTAAGATATTTCATAATATTAAAAATGGTTCAAATCTTAAAACAATCAATCTTTTATTATAAATTTTTTTTGCATTTATGTTTTTCTTATTATTTCAATTCATATTATTTAATATTACTTTTTTAATCAAATACTCTACAAGTTAAATGCAAAAATATTAATATTGTCTTGTTTTCAAAAAACTTATTTGCATAATTTTTTTATATAATAGAACCTTCTATAATACTACTATTATACATAGTATTTATATTTTGCAAAGTTAATATTTTTTCAAAAATTTCTATTTTAGTTATATACTATACTTAATTTTTGTTTATAAGATTTTGTATTCAATTATTATTACTTTTTTGAATTATAAAAAATAAAATCTTTTCAGATTTTGTCTTTAGTCAGACTTGAACTATTAACTTTAATTATAGAGATATAAAAGCTTAACTGTTAAGTTATGTAACTTACAACTTTACAACTTAATATCTAAACTATTTATAATATTTAAAATATATATTTTAAATATATTAATATTATTATTGGCATTTAAAAATTAATAATTTTATTATTAATTATTATAATTAAATCAATTAGTTGATTAAATAATAAATTTTAAATATATTAATTATTATTTTTTTTTTTAAGTTAAAATCTTTATCTTTGAGATGCAATATTTTTATTCAAGTTTATAGAATACAAGTTGCTTTTAGAGATTTTTTTATATTGAAGATTACAACTAGCTACATATGCATTTTTAATATCTAATTTAAGTAGTTCACTTATATATTGCTATATAAGTTTTACACTAGATACTATACTTGCAAGCCAGCTAAAAGTCTTGTCTATTTAAACTTTTAGCATATGCAATTTATTTTGTATTATTAAAACATCTTTAAAATACTGCTTATTCAAGTTTCTAATATTTATTAATATTTTTAGAACTACTTTATCCTTGACAGAAAACTTATTAGAGTCTGTCATGTTCTACATACAGCTAACTTAGTTTTATACAACATGTTATAGTTATCTAATACTTGCAGTTACAAGGGTTAGAGGCCTACAAATTGCCTATTTTTGAGATCTAATTCAGCCTACATTTAGAAATAAAATTTTTTTTGCCAGTTCAGTCTGGTCTATATATAATTGAATTTGTTCTTTAATCTGGCTCAGCCTAATCCAATCTACAAAATTTCTTATATAATTTTGCAAAATTTTAGGCCTAGTCTAACTTATAATTATAAATTTTGCTTCAGGCCTGGCTAGGCTAGAAAATCCAATACAGGCCTCTAATAAGAGTTATCTGTTTAACTGTTATATTATATTATTTTTATTCTGTAAAGTTTATTAAGATCTTAGTATTTATCTTTCTAATATTTTTTCTATCATCTTCTATTAACTACAACCTAGAACCAACAAACTCCAATCAAACTACCAATTTAGATAGCATAATATGATATATTTTTATATTTTTTTCTTCTGATAAGTCTGATAGCTTAATTAGTTATATATTTTTTTACACAAATTTGGCATTCAGTTTATCTAACTTGCTTCTATAAAGGTGTTTTATGGGCTTTAACAAATTTAATAATATTATTAAAAGTTCATGCTACCTTTTTATTTAGAAATTTTTACTTAAGAATTTTCAAGTAGGTTTTTGTTATTTTGATTTCTTAATTTTTTATACCTAGTAGTCTTATTATAAGTTTATAATAAAGTCTTATACAATACTTTTTTTTTTTCCTCTTAAGCAGTTACACTAGTGCTTTATTAAGATTTTGAAATTATATTTGTAATTATATAAATATTTTTAACTACTAAGCCTAGCATCACCTAGCCACCTTAAAGGTATCTAAGTGCAACTTGTTGCATTACTTCAAGCAAAAGTAAGCCACTTATTTGACTACTTAAAGTCTATAATAACAAGTCTTTTTTCTTTCATAACAAGCTCTAAAATTGTTTTCTGTATTTTTTTTTTGATTTGTTTTTCTTTTTCTTTCACTTTTACTTTTCTTTTTTCTATTACTTACTAATTTGGTTTCTTTTTCTTACTTAGTGCTTTTCTCTTTTTTTTTTTTCTTTTTATTCTGCTTATTATTTCTTTGTTTTTCTTCTATTCATTGATCTTCTTATATCAGTTCTCCATATTTGTTTATATAATATGTTTTAGACTATTCTTGTTATTACATTTATAAATTACTATCTTGATTTTGTACTTAAAAGCTGCCTTAATCTGTTTTATGTTTTTTTTAAAAATAAGACCTTTAATTAATATCTTTTTTATTTTAATTTTTTCTACTTTTGTTTTTTCAAAAAATATTGTATATAATATATATAGGGGATCTGAACTTTTTCTTTTTCTTTTAGTCCTTTTTAGACTGTTGCAATAGTCACTTTTGGGATTTTTTTCCAAAGATTCCTTTGTCTCTTACATGCTACCAAATGCACTTGTGTTTCTTTTGTTTTATTTTGGCATACTTGGCATTTTATTGTTATATATATATTAGGTCTTCTTTTGTTAGGTTTTTCTAGAGTTAGAAGTTTATTTATTATGCATTTTATAAATATGCTTCTTCTGGCATTACTTCTTCTTGTTATACAGTATACTTTTTTAGATTTTTAGTCTTTTTCAAAAGTATATTTAATTATAAATTATAACTTTTATTTTTGGTTCTAATCCTTTAATTGTTTTCATTTTTTTCTATTCTGCTTCTAATCTTGTATTTATTATTAACTTTCAAAGCAGATTTGCTAGTATGTTAGTACATTTGTTTTCCTATTATAAGCAGTACTCTATCTCTTTATAACTAATTTCTTTAGTCTGTATTATCTTTTTGCTAAACTATTATCTTTATTATTTCATCTATTTTTATTATAACTCTTAACTTTAACAAAATCTATCTGAATATTTTTTGTCATAATAAGCTTTCTGATCTTTATTACCCATATTGCATTTTTTTTTTTTTTTAGAACCTTATTTCTATCTACTTGTTCTAACTCTCTACTAATATTTTT